TTGGAACCGGTGGTAGTTTACGGTAGTTAGGGTCAAATAAATAAACTCAAAATTACAAAAAAGAATTTTAAATAAAATACTTTATTAAGTAAATTAAATAATAAATTCATACATAGACAATAAAACTTTAAAAATCGAACAATGAAATAACCGAACGCTCAATAAAAGTCTTTCCAAGGTAGCTCGACAAATTAAATAAAAGTTTAATTCTGACGACGTAGCCTGTAAAGGCTACGAAACGTCAATAAATAAATAAAGTTTCGTGCATTAACCCGTAAAAACTAGTTTTATTTAATGAGTGATGTGCGTGAAAACCTAAGAAACAAATAAGTAAAGTTAAGTTGATTGAATGAAAGGCAAATTGCGGTTTACGATTTATGACGTATTAAAAGAAACTACTTACTAGATCTCGTTCAAACCAATTTTCGGTGGCAGTTTGCATGGTAATGTACATTATATATATTTTTTAGTTTTATCTTTCTCTTATTTTAGAAGTTACAGGGGGGGGGGGGGACATTTTACCACTTTGAAAGTGTCTCACGCACAGACTATTCAGTTTAGAATAAAATTATATTTGTGAGCACAATTTTTTTTTGATGTTAATTGTGATAATTTAATTAATTGATAACATATGGGTCCGATGAAAAAATTTTTTGAGTTTCAAAACTAAATATGAGGAACCCCCAGAATTTATTGTTCTATTTTTATGTGAAAATCTTAATACGGTTTACAGAATACATCTACTTACGAAGTTTCAATAATATAGTTCTTATAGTTTCGGGAAAAACTGGATGTGTCATATGGACGGACAGACAGGCAGACGTGACGAAGCCATAAGACTCCCTTTTTTTTGTCATTTGGCTACGGTACTCTAAAAAAGAGCGTTAGGCATATGAAAACCTTCGGCGGTCAGAAATAACAAAATAAAATCGTAAGCGATAGCGATAGTCATAGCAATCCCTTGAGGAATTAATGGGCGATTGGCCCCCGGAGTTCGCCGAGTAGGTATGTTATAATGAATATTGTTTGTGGTGCTTTAACATGTTTAGTGTGCTATAAAGATCATTAATCCGCAAAAGTTACGGTTAATGGCCTTACGATATGCGACTTGTTATAAAGTTTCAGGACATGTTTACGGTGGTCCTATTGCATAATCCTTTGTGGGTCGTAAGTCCCGTTTTGCTCTAATAAGATTAGTATTCAAGGAAACCTTGAAAAATATTTAGTTGAATATGTTTTCTAATGTCAAAGAGCAGTATTGGGTGTGTTTTAACTGAGTATGTCTAAACTTAAGTAATCAGTGTGATGTACACTAATATTATAAAGGCGAAAGTTTGTTAGTGTGTATGTTTGTTACTTCTTCACGTCTAAACGGCTGGATAGATTTTAATAAAATTTTATATGGTGTTAGCTGACACCCTGGATTAACACATAGGCTACGTTTCACTGCGGGAAAATATCCCTAATAAACCGTGGGTAACACCGCGGGGCACAGCTAGTATGTTAATAAACAGAAAATTCTTTACATGACATTTTTGTTCCTTTTAAGCTAAACTTAAAAATAAGTTTCTATTAGTTTATTTTTTATGCTTATCAAAAAGACAATAAGGTAAACACTATGAAAGTTATAGATACGTCATACACGCTTCTAATTTGGCTATACGAAAGTCAGGTAATTGCTCGATTTGCATTTTTCTAAGCTGCGCACGCTCTCGTACAATATTAGTCTATGGCTGCGGCGACACATTGCTACAACGTGTAAATATTTTATGTTTTTCCTAACAAAAAGCTCATCCAAAAAAAATATTTCAGATAGTACACAAATTACTCGGGAACTATTAGAGACAAAAAAACGCGTGATTTCAGTCGTTAGTACAGTTTTAGATATTAATGAAAAAAATATTTAGTGATTACTTATCTTGACAGTTGCTGAATGCTGACACCGTTTGACACGTGGAGGCTAAAGAGCGAGATGTAATCTGCTTTATACATGAGAGTGAAAGAAACTACTTTAGTGCGCTCTATTGGCGGCTGTTGCCAAGGGAAGTTGGGGCTGGGAATACATGTGCCATTTTAAAATGTAATAATGTTGACGTATAACCTGACTATATATTATACGTCATTGGGTAAACCATTATAAAGATAATGTTAAAACTTTAGTATACATACTAACTCGCTCTCGGCTATGACGGTCAAAAGTTAATCATTTCCGGACCTATCACAATTCACAACCCTTAGTAAACTCTGAGTACTTACGTATAAAGTTACAGTTCATTGGAAATTCACAACTTATTAAAGGTCCCACTCTCCGTTTTCAATATGAAATCGTTAAACGTAAGTAGATAGTAGGATCTTGAACGGACCCCGAAGTTTTGTCATAAACTAAGCAAAGAGGTTCGGAATAGGAGAAACTATTACAGGAACTATCCAAAAAAAGGCGTCTTCATACCTCGTTGCTTAGTTGAAGGAGTGATATACAGGGCGTCCCACGGCTACCTCACACGGAGAGAAAGTATACTAAATATTGAAAATAGGACATTTTACTGAAAGAAGACATCATTTTATTTTTAATAATAAATAGAACTGCATTCACAGTTTTTTTTAAATCGCCTGCTACAACTGGGAATCAAACTCGTGAAATTTGAAAAAAAAAACACATGACGTTTTTTTATGATAACCATAGAAAGGGTTTATCACAAGAATATTTTTTTGCTAAACAACATAGCATTTTAAATGAAAGAAAAGTGATTAAATTTCACATTTTATTTAAAATTATTTAACACAAACTAATATAAAATCGGATACGCCACAAAGTAAGTAAAAATGTTGAGTTCATCATCGTTGACGTCTATCATCCGCTGCTGTGGTTTCTGTAAGCGCATATCGAAAGTATCCACTAACCTTTTAAACACATATCGAGAAGGTACGTCTCTATCAGGATATCTTTCGCGTTACCACCGCAAAGCTAATATGACTTTGTGGTTAATAATAAGCTTCCATTAAATCCATTTTATTTTGTAAGTAAATTAATAAAAAAATGTAATTAAATAAAAAGGAAACTCACAAAGAACAAAAGAACAGACGTTTGAAAAAAATATGTTCAATTTTCGAATTATTATTTTTATAAATTTCAGCCAATCGCATTGTAACTGTGAGTTCAAGAAGAAATGCATACGTACTACAGTTGTTTATATCACTTTATTATTTTTATCACGTAATAAGACTTTCTTTTAAAATGCTATGTTATTCTGCAGAAAATAATCCTTATGATTAACCTTTTCGATGGTTATCATAAAATAAGCTGTTTTTTTTTTCGAAATTTCACGAGTTTGATTCCCAGTTGTAGCAGACGAAAAAATCTGTGAATGCAGTTCTAGTTATTATTAAAAATAAAATGATGTCTTCTTTCAGTAAAATATCCTATCTTCAATATTTAATATACTTTCCCTCCATGTGAGGTAGCCCTGGGGCTCCCTGTATACTTACTTAATATATTTTTTTAGATTTTATAGTTAATTTTATTTTGGGCAAGGAGGATTCTCTCACCCAGGGGCAAGGTATGCGTCACGTATTTTCCCATCATTAAAAAAAAGGTGTAGGATAGGTCATTTTTCACCACGTATTTCATAGATATGGTAAGAGATATAGTTTTCTTTAAAATTCTATATAGTTTTCTATATCTCTGATGTATTCCATTCCATGCAAGCGGCGCGAGCGACCTAGGTTATATTCTGGGTAATAATAATAAAATCGAATCTGGCGTTGCTCTAATAGGGTTCGTACAATGAACTATTTCATCCCGTTATTCTAGCTACCTAATATCACTGAATTATGAAATAGTTTCTGAGCTAGATATTGCAACAAACCGCGGAAGAAAATAAACATTTGTTTTAAACACAATTTACAGACAACTTAATGAATCAACGTTTTCAGTATTGTTGTTTAAATACAGCATATATCAAAATTTCACAATCTTTATTAGTTTCGATTTTGAGATATATCCCTTAAAAAATGGGCTAAAAACAACAACTTTGAAAATAAAAAAAAAATTGGGGGAAGTTTTGATGAACCTTAAGTAGTTGAAAAATTTAGTCTTGAAAATATGTTTGCCTTATAATTCCTCTGTCAAGTCCGACCAATGCAAGCAACTTGTTATTCTATCCTCTTTTCTTTTCAGAGTATTCAACAATATTTTATTTGAATAAAATCAATCAAGAAATATATTAACATCCTTTATTGACATTGTAATTAATATATTTGACATTTAATTGGCTATTAATAATTGAATTTAAATTGTATAACTAACCACAAAAATTTGACGATGGGTAGACGAAAACCAGCTGCGCTGTGCTACTCCTTTTTCCAATTCATATTTAATACATAATGTAATAATAAGGTATGGAAATAAAGCACTTGTATTTGTATTTTGTATTGATTTCACCCTCTTGCGCGCTGCACTTTATAGCCGAAACAGTTTTTTTTAATTTGGTATATATTTTATATGCATACTTTAGGTCCATTTGTTGAAATTTTGCTACATATGTATAATAATAATAACATTGATTGCAGACTATTCATCTATAATGGATAAATAATAACAATAGATATTGTATACAAAAATGTCAACATCTCAATGTCAATTTGACATTATTTTATGGTCTAGATCTTGTTTTAGTTGAATCAAGATTTAGTAAGTGCAAGCGGACCAAAATACGGAATTGATTGTGGATAGAATAAAATCAGGATTTCAGAAAATTCATCTTTCTGATTTGGTCAGACATTGCAATATGGTTGATCGTACAAATATGTTTATGAGATCTACTCCCACATATGGTGTGGGCAGTTGTCCAGCCAGTGGCCACAGTAGACTCGGCTTGAATTGATAATGTACAGGATAACACCTGGCTAGAAACGCCTACTACGGTAGACAAAACCGTTAAACAAGTTTTGCCCTATACGCTTGAAATGCCGTTCACACCAATTAATGTCGCTACCAAGATATGGATTTGGGGCTATTTGTTCAGTCAGTTCCTTACTTAATTATAATAGATACATACTTTTTGCACAATAGTTGTTTATGTTATTAAATATAATTACTTCTCTAATATCAAAATCTGTAACTTAAATAAGGTGTATTAAATATCTTTATCATCATCATCATCAGCAGCCTATTAATATCTCCACTGCTGAGGCACAGGCCTTCCCTATGGATGGAATAGGTGTTTAAGGCTTTGTAATTAATAGCTGATCAGATATTCATTTCATAGACTAAACATCGTCTGCGTAGTGTTTACTATAATTCTCTTGTCTAAAAGGTATCGTATTACGTTACCTTTAGGTAATCCAATATGACTGGAGAGTGGGATCATAAACACTAACAAAATATACTTGGAAGTGCCGTGTTTGCTACACTCATACGTCAATGATTTTTGGAATACAGTTATGTATGATTCTTGTAAGATTCTTGATGAGGCTATAGGTAGAACGCTTAACCGAGTCCTCGCACATTCTTGTCAAAATTACAAGTGCCCGCCCGCACCTCATGGTCCCCGTTCTCGTTCTCCCCCACACCCTGTACCCCGCAGGCTGGAACTCAGTCAAGCGGTTTACCTAATATTTGCATCGATTTAATTTACAGATTTCTAAAGAAACTTATCAAAGTGACTATTGTCATGGATTGTGTAATCTGTAATCTGCACGTTGAATCGAGAATACAGGTGAATGGAATATTGATCAACATTTTTTTAGACGGACGTCTCTTCACAGATTTCATATCAGCCTCTCAGTTAAATTTCACCTCATTTAATTTAAATGTGATGAGAATTTTAACGCCTGTCGTGGCTCACCATTCGCTGACTGTAAACTGCATGTTAATGGAGAGAGCGCTCTGCCCCCTTCATTAGTCGAACAAACAAGAGGGGTTGGAGATGTTGCCTTTATCTCGTCACCCTCTTAACCTACCCCACTTGGTTATAGTACATCTTAAGTTATCACATCTAGTATACAATTAATATTTCATCGATATAACACAATATAAAAACGTTACCCAGATTTCTTTATACCATTTAAGTAACAAAAAGGCTATAAACACAGGTGTTGGAAGTTTATTCGCGCCTGAACTCAATTCGGAAAATTAATACGGATGAAAGAAATTATATTGAGAGTCGTCGACTACTTTTATGTCCTACCAATTTAGATGAAAGCTTGTCTTTGATGAATTTCTAAGAAGGACCATCGACGGCTGCGTCATTATCTCGTCATAATAACGAAATGCTTCCTTTTGAACATTGTGATTTCGCGCGGAGGTTAATTTTAAGAAGAGTCAGTCATAATAAAACATTTTAGGCGACGATTACATAATAACGGAGTTGCAAGTCTCCGCGACAAATTGATTTCGATTATTAGGGTCGCGTCTGGAGGGGTAAGTCGGCGTTAATGTAGGAAGGGTATTCCGTTTTCAAGGGCGTTGTGTCAACAACTCCGCGAGGGGATCTTGTAGGGCCTATTATGTTTTGTACATATTGCTATATGTATGTATGTTTAGGTGCTATTATTACGCAAAGGGATATTGTAACAACATCGTTAATCCGAACCATTTATAAGAGTTGCTGTTGCCTGAAGATAAGGAACATTTATTGTCCTCCTGTTCAGGCACGTGGTCTGTTCTGTCTGATACCTGTAACGCGTAGAATTTTTTATACTAATTATTGTAGTCGTACGTTGTCTGTTCGACAATTCGTACGTACACAGCAGCGTTATTGCTATTGTTTAAAATATTTATTTTTAGAAAAACTTTCTAGACGGAAGAGTTTTTTTCAGAAGGAGAAATGACCCCCTGCATACGGCTTATATGGCTATATAAAGAATAATTCCACTTTCCGGGCAAATGCTTTAAATACTTGGTGTTAGGCGTAAGCTTACTATAAACGATATTGAAAACCCTTTGCTCATATTGAAAGTATGTAATATTCGTTCAAATTGATCGCATTTTGAAAGTAGGCAAGCCAGGACCCGCCAAACCCGCGGGTGTGTATGAATAATTGAATATGAATGCAAAGGAAGCGAAAAATATGTATACGGACCGTGTCTAAGGCGCCTAGTTCTCTATGACTACACCGCCGATGACACAGCGTTTGAAGATGTGTATGTTATATTATGGCTAGCTATCTAAGTCTTCAGTTAATCTTGGACTTGAAATTTATTTAGTTAGTCCAACTCAGGTCATACATTGTTCTTTTGTATGCTTCTCAACCACAACACCCTGTGTTCTGTGTGCTCAACAGTGCTATCTGTGTTTCAAATTTCAAACAAAATGTACGACGATGGTGTAGCCTTTTGACGTTCATGTGCTTTTGAAAAGCCTTAAATTTTATAAAATCGAAATCAATCACAGCTGTATCAATCATTTTACCCGCCTAGATGCTCTAAGTACCGTTTTTTGTTTCTTCTGTTTATTTCCCTGACTGGTTTCACGTTCCCATATAACTGTTCTTTTTTTACCCGACTGCGCAATGCAAGAGCGCGAAGCGCGACACGCAGACAGGGTGTTTGTTCCTTTGTGGCACACTAGAGACCAAACGCCTGGACCGATTTTGATGATTCATACATCAATCGATTCGTCTCAATCCCATGGAGTGCTACTAAAGATATGATAGTAATCAAAATTCAATATGGACAAAATTAGGCGCCATATTGTGACGAAGTAAAAATAAAGATGTGGTTTTTGGTTCTACTGCTTGGTTCACCAATGGTCAAGAGATGGCGCTGTAGTCTCCCGAATCGCGCTTTGGTTCCGTTGTTTCAGATTAATAAATACTTTTGATAGGCCTTCACAATGCAGTCGTTAGCACCCACTAAATTGAGATTCTATTTCTATTTTGTTGGTAGATTTTCTTAATGTGCGGTAAACACAAAAGTAACAGCATGAAGTTGGTCGCTAAAGCCAACTTCATGCTGTTAAAATTTTGTGTTACAGTGATGCGCGCGCATCTTAAGAATTCATTCTCATCATTTTTTCATAACGCGCCTAAAGAAGTATAACTTCAAAAATAAGTTGACAAAATATGTCGAGAGGATTATCACTGTCTAGATAATCGAAAATCATGTTTAGGTTCCTAACGCCTAGATAATCGAAAATCATGTTTAGGTTCCTAATGTCTAGATAATCGAAAATCATGTTTAGGTTCCTAACGCCATTTTTCATTTTATATGATTGTTTAGGATCTACAACGCTTTAAAGTTGTATATTAACTACTAGCGCTTTTAATTTCAATCTTCCGTTTATATAACAGTGTCACATACGACGGAAAAAAATCTCCCATCTGCGAGCCATTTTGGCCTGCACTGCAAAAACAATAAAAGTTACATGAATGTAATGTAGAGTGAAAATGTATCTCTTAAATAGTTCTAAAAAAAAGTCCGTGACACCATATATCTATTTTTAATGTGTAAGCCATTGCCACTAAAATAGTGAATCAAAACTAAAATATTATTTGATATCTATTTCCAAAATGCACATTTTGTATTAACAAATTATTTTTTATCAAAACAAATACTTTTATCGCTTTTGATATTTAAAGACGAACGATAAACTTTGCCTTTTACACTATGTCATTTCGACAAATATTTAAAAAGTTACAACGATGATAAAGTGATAGCGCGGTGTACTATGTAGAAGTAGACTGCGGGAATACTAAGAGAAGAAATTAAACTTAGGTGGATAAAACCTAGGCTAAAAAGAAAAAAAATGGGCTACTCGCAGTATCTGATCCTATACGAAGTACTTACAATAAAACTGTGATAAGTTCCTTCTTATTAAATGATGAATAATAAATTATCATAATAGGTATTTATGATTTTTGAATTTTAATGAAAAACTCAGAATTATACTGTTTTTAATTTTTTTAACGATATTACTTAATGTTACAAAAAAGGTTTACTTAATAAAATGACAAATAATTCATTTTTCGCTAGTAGTTACATACTTATTGGAATCCCTGTATTTATTAATCAGCTCGCGATAATATTGGTTTTGTAATTATAAACGATAATTATGCAAAATTCAAAGTAAATAATATAGATTTTTATAGGTAAATCACCCCCTTAATCACCCTACGCCTATATACTTATAGATTTTGCGATGTTGTAGCTAAGAACCAAGTTCCCATCTACTTCTATATGGGAAATTCATTGTAATCGATTTAGCTATTAGGGCACGGAAGCGCAACAAAAATCTCACTTTTGCATCTATAATATTATATTATTATACTTACCAGTGATCCACCCGGGCATTGTACGGGCGAAATTTATTTTATCGGGATAAAATATAGCCTATGTCACTCGGACAAAATGTATTTAAATAAAGAAAAATGTAAAAATAAATAACGTAGCTACCTTATGATGAATTAATATTTGAAACCGGTTCAGTAGTTTGACAGATTGTTTGTTACAAACATACAAATCTTGTCTCTTTATAATATTTGTATAGATAGTTAGGATAATAGTATTTTATTGATGAAAAAGATTTAAAAATAAAGTAAGTAATAGGTTTAAATAAAACTAGTTTTTACGGGTTAATGCACGAAAACTTTATTTATTTATTGACGTTTCGTAGTCTTTACAGGCTACGTCGTCAGAATAAAACTTTTATTTAATTTGTCGAGCTACCTTCCTGTAAAGACTACGAAACGTCAATAAATAAACAAAGTTTTCGTGCATTAACCCGTAAAAACTAGTTTTATTTAATGAGTGATGTGTGTGAAAACCTAAGAAACAAATAAGTAATAAGTTTATTTGATTATATTTGTAAAAGTTACTTAGCATTTGTGCTTAACAGTGATACGTTATTCGGTATTTTTTTAAATACAAAAAAAAATGGAAAATAGTTACCATGATTGCACTATTTGCAATACATACTAGGCTGGTAGCAGCACGCTTGATAGGTGGAAGTACTCTTCATTCGAGCTTTATATTACCAATAAAAAAGGGTCGATCAAAAAGTCTTTGTTCTGTTATATGTACCTGTTATATGTGAACGTTTTAAAAGAAAACTACAAAGAGAACTATAAATTGATAATAAACGAGATTGCTATGGTGTTATTATGCGCCTTTAGTTTAAGCAAATATTATAAACTTTGTTTTGGTGATTGCATAATTATTTAATTTAGCGATCTAAGGCAGTTGCCACCATTGTCCAAAACAACAGACGCTAATTACTGCTTTCTTCAACCTGCGACATAAACGTCATTGATTGGTATTGTATATAGGGTGATTAACAACATTTGAAGTTAACTTCTGGCATCTACATATTGGGTTTCTGTGAATTATGTAGGTATATCAAATTATGAGACTAGGATATGACACTGCATTTGTGTATATCAGAATATTAGAGCCGGACGATGACATGACAATGCAGCCACTGCCAATTTTAAAATAGTCGACGAATAAAGTAAATGAATTTTATATTTAGTGCTAAACTACTAAAAAGAACATAAACAAAAGATAACTTTTTGAATAACTGATAGTTTACTATAAAATTTACATACATTAGATATTTATGTAACAACTTGATTTAACTTCACACATTTTTGCGAAAATTGAGGCCCATCTGTAGCCTTCACCCCGCTGGTAAAGTCTCTATATGTCTTAAAAAAACAATCCTTTAGACCACAGTGTGAAATAAAAAAGGTAAATTTAAAAAATCAAAAAACCCGACTGCTTAATTGTACTTCAAATAAAAACTGAAAAGAAAAAAACAAGTCCAGTTTTTTTTTTGAGTGTGTATGCTGTTGACCTTTACAGCGTCACCGGGTTTGGGGACGGCGAGATCCTAAGGGGACCTCAAGCCGAGAATTGGCGAGTGCCTCTGGAGGTATTCCAGTCGGATGGCGTCTCCCCACGGGGGGAGTCTCCACTCCGTCTGGAGCCTCCAGACCACTCGAACCTGAGGGGGTCGGCTCAACTAGAGGGCGTCTCTGAGACTCGGACCTCGGCTCTAGTTAGCCGTTGTCGTGGGGGGGCAAGTCCAGTAGTCGATAATTCCGTTAATAAGGAACAAAGTTACTTTAACAGTCGGGACCCATTATTGAAATAAATTTGATCCACCTTGAATATCTAATGGGTCCCGACTGTTAAAGTAGCTTTGTTCCTTATTAACAGAATTATCGACTACTGGACTTGTTTTTTTATTTTCAGTTTTTATTTGAAGTACAATTAAGCAGCCGGGTCTTTTGATTTTTTAAATTTACCTTTTTTTATTGGGTGATTGATTACTGAGCGAGAAATTAAAGACTGCTAATTACGGTTCTTATGGTCTGTTTTATATAGGGGTCCTAATTAATGACTCCATCCCACCTGATTTTAAGTGACGGTAGAGTCCAAACGTGAAGATAGATGCATGCAGTATTACCTACCACACCAGCCACCCTCACCTTGTCGACCTGCAAGGCGTTTCTTGTCATTTTTAGCATCGTTTCAATTCTGACTTGGTTTCAGGTGTGCGCGTTGTCTGCTAGGGACCGGGTTTCGGAGTCCCTAGCGTTGTCGTATGCAGAGGCACCGGGAAGACCGCTCCCAGATGTGATAGCACAGCCGGGCCTGTCCTACGATGAAGTCCTACACGACGACTTCAGGTTCGATCTCGACGCGCACGATGTCATGGTCTTCTTGCACATTCAGAAGACGGGAGGGACATCGTTTGGGAAGCATCTAGTCATGGATTTGGATTTGAAGGTAAGGTATTTCTTCATGTAATTTTGATTTTGTTTTCTACTTTTTGCAAACGATGAAGGATAACTGAATGTGATACTGATCTGAGATGTGGATACTGTTATGCACCAATTTTGGAAAACATCTGATTATTGCTATCAGCTCACCTAGCATGAGCCTGTGATATGACATAATTATATCTCCTTTTTATCACGAAAATTGGGTAATTATATAAAACGCGATACTATCATGTCGCATGCTCATGCTACGAGGCTGGTATGGCAAAGAAAGTGTAATTAATTGAGTAAAGATCGTAAACAAATATTTTATTGAGAGTCAACCCCAACTCAAAGAAATTATTATAAATTAATCAAGTTAATTAATTGCTTTTGACAGGCGTCAATGCATCCCAAATTAAATGGGTAGCATAGACGATCAAAGACAGTTTAATGACTTGAACTTAATACATATATGTATGGTGATTTCTCGGCGTAAATTTACTTTTTTATACTTTTTGTGTAAAGCCAGTATTAATTTAATTTAATTTAGTCATTGTTTGTTGTACTTGAATACTTGAACACGTTTCAGCATCGAATCGGTATTTATAAACTTATTTCAAATCCTTCATTCGTATCTCACGTAGCATTTGTATATCCATTTGTTTTTCTGTCCTTTGTTCTCGTCCGCTTTCAAGATCAAACGAGTCAAAGGACGCTTCTTTCCACTATCAATTTTAAACGCGAAAATCTCCATGAAAAATCTGTGCGAAACGTGGCAGACATGTGAAGTGGCTTGGCATTGCGAGTGGGCTATTAAAGAACGCGGGCGGGTGGTGACTGCGCGCTACCGGTGCAAATGGAGGATCCGCTCAAAGAAAATGTCGTGTCACGCTGAAGCCAACTAGACTCCGCTCTTTAACCGGCTTTGAGCTACTTCTTTAGAATACATCGTCGAAAATCACGCGTTGCAGGTTAATTAATTAATGCGAATTAATGCTTTTAACACAGTAAAGTAACCGTTCGTTTCATTAACAATTTTGTTTGTAATAGACGTCGGCTTATGTATGGCTTTGTTGTAGAATAAAATTATGTGTGTAGCTTCTGTTTGGGATTTCGTCGGAGCATATTCCTGATATATGTAAATCAGTGGAGAAGCTTTTAGTGGAATAGAATGAACCTTTATATGTGTAAGCAATGTAAATATTCAGTTTCTGAAACCACATTAAATATGGGATTCAGTTGGGTAGCGCTAGCATTCACAATGATATTGGCATGGAAAAGGAACGATTAACATACATAAACATTCCAAAAATACATATCATTATATTATAGTTGATGAAAAATGGAAATATAAAACAACGCATGAAGCTCAAGACCATTTTAATACAATCTTGCTAGACTATTTTTTATATGCTTCGTATGGTAAAGTAAGTAGTTAGTAAACATGAGTCTACTAGAGTTTTATTCAACACTATCCATTCGTATTAAGATGGAGCTCATTTTTCATACTCTGAATAGGCAGATATTGATCTTGTAAACATGTTTTCTTATACGGATATGTTTTTACTTTGCTATTCTTCTGGATAAGTGAAGGGTTTCTAGATAATTTGCATTGAGGATGCATTAGGTTGTGTTAAAGTGATGAAATATAGTAAAGTTGTTGAAAAACTAAATTCGTCAATTTTCGAATTAACTTTCAAACATCACAAATTCATGTAGTGTCTGATGTTTTTATGGTACGTAGAGCTTAATTACGAAAGATACATCTAAATAAGCGCCTGTTCTTTTTAGGGTTCCGTACCCAAAGGGTAAAAATGACACCCTATTACCATCACTCTTTAGTCTGTCTGTCAGTCTGTCCCCTCTATCCGTATGTCACGGGTCTCTACATCGTAAACGGAAGCAGTTACAGAACTGAAATTTTGGTATTCTATATAGAATGCCTGACCATTTTTGTTTCGGGGTCTATCTGAAATCCGAAACCGATTTCGAATGTGAAATTTTGGTAAAATATATGATACTAGCTGACTCGGCAAACTTCGTACCGCCCAAAAGTAATAATTTGCAATAAATTAAAATTGCGACTATAATTTGAGATTTAAACTATCCTATCTTTCAAGTTGGATCGAACTGCACATGGTGTGCGAATTTTATTATAATCGGTTAAGTGGTTTAGGAGTCCATTGAGGACAAACATTGTGACAAGAGATTTATATATATTAAGATGATCAACGAACAACAATAAATTTTCCCTTGTTTATGTGTTTATTTTCAATAAACTGCTTTTCGATAAATTTGCAAGCCCGTTCGAAATATAAATTAAACCTTAGATAACTTACCGCCTTGTTTTAAAATAAAAGATCATTCCATTTTTAATAACACATCAGATATTTATTATGTTATTTATTTGCCCGTTAAACACGACATATATGGATTTATATACAACTTTTGCCGGCAAAATTTGTATGAAAAATAATATGGTGCTTGCATGAATATGGTAAGTACAGCAATATAGATTTATCTCGAGAAAGGTTGTCAGAATAATGCTCCTATTACAAAGAATGTCTGAGAAAAAAAAAATTTAGAGCTTTCCTAATAACTTTTATACCACATCTGAACGCCTGTCCTGATAAAAATGTGCCTTAAATTATTCTGTTTTATTTTTTGTTTAAGTATATCAATCACAGCTATAATTTTGACGAGGGTCGCAAGCCCATTTAACTTTAGCTCTTTGAAAGGAAAATTTTATTTAACACTGTGTACTTACCTAATTCGTTTATCGTAAAAGTTCCCTGTTGTTGGCAAACAAGCTATGTGTAGTATCAAAGTCGCCATTTCTGTTGGGTACGTCGTTTGTGAGTATATTTAATTTAAACTATGCAACATGTTTTAATGGTGTTTATCACATCGTTTATAAAGGATGCTTTCCAATAGGTTTGTTTATGCGTGTTTTACATTTGTTTCTCTACTTGGTAAAAAATAAGGTAGTTATTTTTTAAACAAAAAATAACGTAGTTATTTTTTACTAAAAATAACGTATAGGTTCGCTATCCTGAAAGAGAATGCGCTTTGTTTGTTTTTTAAATACTTTTGCTTTTACAATCAAAATATAATAAAAAACTAGTATTTTTTAGGATTTCGTAGTCCTGACAAGGAACTGTTATAGTTTCGTCATGGCCGTCTGTCCGTCCCCGGTTTTGCTTGGAGACTATTAGCACTAGAGAGCTGTAATTTTGTGGATATATGTATATCGTTCACGCCGACAAAATGATAGAATAAAATTTTATAAACAAAATTTTAGGGTAGTGTAAATAATTACATTTATTTAGTTATGATGTAGGAAGCATCATAAATAAATATTTTCAACACACATCAATTAGCCTAGCCCCATAGTAAGCACTGTAGGCTTGTGTTATGGGATAATAATGATAATCCCAGGGCTAAAATATTAAGAAGTTAAGTAGGACCTTGCCTTGCACGCATAGAAAATAAGCCTGAGTAGACAATAACTTATGGTGCGATCATTATTTATACACTCGGCCAAATTGAAGTGCATGACCGAGATATGTGTTAGAAGTTGTTTTTAATTACCGCATAGAGCAATGGACAGAAATTCCATTATAGTCCATGACATAGAGCGTAAAGGAATAATAAGCGCAACCCTTATATTCATATAATCTCACTTATATTGACGACCTCCGTGGCCGAGTGGTTTGTACGCCGGGTTTCATGGTGTCGCCAACTCGAGAGGTCTCGGGTTCGAATCCCGGTGGGGGCATATGTTTGTGTGATGAATACGAGCATTTGTACTTCAGTCATGGATGTTTAATACGTATTTCTATTTAAATATACTTATATCTGTACAGTATATGTATTCTATCCGTTACCTAAGTGTCCTATAACACAAGCCTTACAGTGCTTACTTTGGGGCTAGGTTAATTGGTGTGAGTGTTGGAAATATTTATTTACATATTTATTATTTATATGTGGCATACCTGGGGTTAAGAATTTCACCCACCTATTTCGTCGGGTTAAATAGTTAGTATTTATACACAATTTACTCTTAACTGTGAGAAAAGTAGCAATGTCAATGAATTCTTGAATAAAAAGTGTTTTCGATAATTATTAAAATAAGTATGATGCCTAAGCTACAAATGGGTCATATAAATTAGGTCCAATGGGCACTTTTTGCTTTTGGGTCGAATCGTGCAGGTCTAATGGGTACTAGACCAGAATAACAACTCAAAGATACTATGCTACTAGACTAGTACGATAAACTAGGGTATTGTACTAGACGGATTGATAGCAAAGTAGTTTTCGAGTAAATATTTACTTTTTGTTACAAATAATTTTGCCGCTATCTATTCACTCACGCTCGCTTGCTCAGCTTGCTCGTACAAAAGAAAAATGTTTGAAGCACATTCGGTAGTTAGGTCATTACAACACATGCATGAATAACCAGTATCTGTGTATCTATTAGCGTTTTGAAATTACATATCTAATATATAAAATTCTCGTGTCGCGGTGTTTGTGGTTAAACTCCTCCGAAACGGCTTTCCCGATTCTCATGAAATTTTGTGTGCATATTGGGTAGGTCTGAGAATCGGACAACATCTATTTTCCATCCCCCTAAATGTTAAGGGTAATCCACCCCTAATTATAATTTTGTTTTTTTTTTAATTTTTTTATGATACAGCATTAGTAAATACATACAACCCTAAATTTTCACTCTTCTACCACCAACCCCTATTTTTTTATGGCGGTACGAAGTTCGCTGGGTCAGCTAGTAATAATATATAGTTAGTAACTATCATCTGCCTTTTGCGACCCAAATGTTCATTTTAATATATTCAATAAAGGGATCGATTAGGTTCTTTAAAAAAAACACGTATGCTGCAGTAAAATTGAAAACAGTTCCAGTATTTGGGGTTAATGAAATGAAAATTAGAAGTATAAGTTTATAGGATTTCAGACTTAGGACTGACAGCCTTATTAAGCTTATAGCTAATAACCATGTCATATTGATCTTCAACAATTTCATGTAAATCAACCGATTGTAATAACTCACTTCGTTATTTCGTAATATAAAATATTTGATGACGGTTCTGTGTACTTTCGTAAAGTTTGAGTTTGAGACTATAAAATTTTAACTACGCCCAGGGGGCGTTGAGGGACTGACCCTTCGTTCCTCGGAAAGCAATAAAAAAAGAAATGTTCGGTGACAACGTGACGCTGCCACCGTATAATCGGCTCATTAATATTTAAATCATTTAAATTACAGTGTTCTATTTATTTTGTTGAGCTTGCATGTTTCTTGTATCTGCTTGACATCTAACTATCTGTGCTCCGAGCGTGCATTCATTTTGCTGTTATCTCATTTTTGTTTTAACTGCTTTTTTACTTAATATATTTGTAACTTTTAAGTTTATAGTTAAGAACTGCGAGTTAATTGGAGGAGCTACCCTAAAAAATATAATTTTCATAATTTTATTATAAGATTTTGTCGACGTGATTGATATACATATCTTCACAAAATTGCAGCTCTCTAGAGCTAACAGTCTCCAAGCAAGACCGGGGACGGACAGACGGACATGACGAAACTATAAGGGTTCCTTGACGGGACTACGGAGCCCTAAAAAGACTATCTACTTAAATAAGATTATTTAAATTATTTTCACGCATTTAACCGATAACCCCAATCGAGTCAAGTGCCAACTTAGTAAGTACTTAAATTGTTAATGTAATGAAAATACAAACCTTCTGGTTCAGATGTTATCAATGTCAAAACCACTTATCTATACGAAACAAAATGTATTATTAAATTATATTTTATTATATAATATACCTAAATCGATTAATGTTTGTGATCCGAGTCCATTATACAATATTTTTGCGCAAAATTGCT